GGGGACACCCTGAGTGCAGACCCCTCCTGAGGGCAGAGCCGGGGCTGGGCCCCCGAGTGTCCTCTCACCTGTCACCACCAGCTCCAGGGGCTCACTGCGCTCTGACCAGCCAGCAGGGGTTCGGTAGTAACAGCGATATCGCCCTGCATAGTGCTCTGTCATGTATTCTACGGAGAACTTGGCCTTGTTCCTGGGCTTCAGTGGCTGCTGGCTGTCCCAGGGCACTTGGATTCCCTGTTTCTCCAGACGACAGTCCTGGGCCTTCAGGGTCCCCTCACACCAGAGGTTCACAGGCTTCCCCCATGGTATCACAGATCCTGGCTCAGCCCAGAGCCTGGGTGTGGGGAGGGTCCCTGAGGGAGATCACAGCTGGGTCTCAGGCCCGTCCTGCTCCCTCACACCCCAGCTCTCAGCCCCAGGACCCTCCACACCTCCCCAGCACCGGCCCACACCTGCTGTTCTCCCTCCCCACTGCCCACGGTGGCCCCTTTTCCCCGGGAGGAGGAGGGACAGGGACAGCTGGGGACACACTCACCGGCCTGCACTCGGGTCCTGGGGCCCAGACTCAGCCCTGGAAGAGAGCTCCCCGTGAGAGGTTTGCCCCGGAGCCTGAGCAGGTCCTCTCCTCCCGGGGCCTCCTGAGCCCTGGGTCTCCTGATGGAGCAGGGCTGGCTGTGGGGTGGGGGCCCTCCCAGAGCGGGGTGTCCCCTGCCCTCTTCCCGTCTCACCCAGGCAGAGCAGGGCTGCGAGGCTGGGGTTCATAGCGTCTCCTCTTACTCTGAGACTGCAGATTTCTGTGACCTCAGGGTCCAGTACGATGCACAGACACTGTTCAACCAGGCAAAGGCTGGTCGTTCTTGTCACAAGGTCATGACAGCAGCAGCCCACAGGAAGGGGAACTGCCCTCCCCAAAAGCCAGGACTTTGCTTCCCCAGGACTGGGTCTGGTGTTGGACACCAGGCTCTCTGCAGAAACTTCAGATAGAAACAGTGCCTGTCCTCCCTGGGGAGTATTTCCACCTGGTTTAATTCATTCTTTACTCCTGAGTGAACACATAGAGAACTCATATCAGTCAAAACCCAGAGACATCCGGTTTGTTTTCTTACTAATTCCGGTGTATAAATAGTGGCTCAGAACAGCACAGATTCCCACTCTTAGAGGTGTGCAGTTAATACATCCAAGGTGGACCTTCCCGGACTTGAGTTCTCCGCAGGCTGCGCTCCTCTGAGACCCGGCAGTCGCTGCTGTCCTAGCTTCTTGGGCCCCTGCCGGCTGCTGCATCCTGGGCCTCAACCTCCCTCCCCCGAGTCTCAATCCAGAACTCTTGCTCTTGCAGTCTCTGCCGCCTTCCCGACGCTGCCCCTCTGGTCTCCGTCCTCCCATAAGTCTTGTGATCACACTGGGCGCCCCCTGCTCCTGTCCCATGCGAGATTACTCACTTCAGGGCATCGGCCCCATCCCTTTCTGTCACACAAAGTCCCGCAGTCAGGCTTCTGGAGTGAACACGTGTTCCCCTTCGGTGGTCGTTATTCTGCCCTCCCTGTGCGTCTGGGAACTCCCTCAGCCCTGTCTCCCAGGACCCACATCTCACAGTTGGTGGAGGGCAGCTGGGCAGGTCCGGATCAGGGCTCGCTTGTCAGGCCACACCCAGTTCTGATGGGCAGTGCAGGCTTCGAGGTGACTCGGTGACTCACAGCCAGGTGACCTCTCTCTAGTGGAGGCCATTAGAACCGTGAGCTGTTTCCAGACCGTGGAGCGGCACACTTGAGTTTTGGAAGGATTTGTTTCCCAGGCTGCGGAACACATTAATCTCACAGGATCGTTCTACAGGCTGCTATTTCACTTGAGACCCATCCAGCCCAGCAGCCTCAAGCAGACCACGAGACGCCTGCACAATGGAGGGGCTCCTGTGACTGCAGAGTAGATGACAGAGGCTGCACCCTGGGTGCATCAGGACCGCGGAGAGGCATTGGTGACCCTCAGGGCCTTTCCACGTTGACCCAGAGGATGCAGACTTTTGTCAAACAACTGCAAGGTGGGTTTTAGAGCCAAGCCAGAACTTTCATCAGCAGTGCAGTTGCTCAGACAACACACCTGATACCCGCAATTTAAGGGAGGAGAGGTGTATTTTGGCTCTCAGCTTCAGCAGGTTCAGTCTATGGTTGCCTGGCTCCAATCAAACAGTACGGCAGAGGAAAACTGCTTGCCTCATGGTCACTAGGAAAGAGAAGGCGAGAGCTGTGGATGTGTATGTGTCCTTCCAAGTCAGGCCAGCGCTCACCCACCCCAGGCAGGCTGCATATGGAACCACGAGGCTTTTGGTTAAAATGTGGCATCTAAACCATAGCATTTCACCCCTAGCCCACAAAGATTCACGTCTATGTCCATATAAAAACCAATCCGTTTATAAGAGCAAGAGTTGCCAGATTTAACAGATACAACAGTGCTCAAAAACCAAGTCTCAAGACTCCTCTGAGACTGATGGCGAACTCTTAGCTGTGGGCTCCCTGTTAAAAAAGAAAGTGAAATTTTTCCAACATACAACGGGGTAAATATTCCTGTTCCAAGGGAAGGATAAGGCGATAGGAACGGGCCCACAAGACTGAAACCCCACGCACACACTAGCTCTTGTCACTCCACATCCAGCTTCTGGGCCCCGTGTGGTCGCAGTGGTCTCTAAAGCCCTTGGCAGCCGGGTTCCTACAGCCTTGCTGGTTGCAGCACAACTGGCTGCTGCCCCCAGTCACTCCAGACAGCTTTCCTGAGAAGACCACCCTCAGGCCGAGCTTCTTCCGTTTGCTGGGGTCTGCGTTACACTGTGGGCTTTGCTCTCACCTCTCTGGCACTTCCTCTCGGGGTGCACTGGCTGGCTTCCCAGGCCTCCTTCTGCAATCAGGGGGAAACCTCACGGGCCCACTGCTCTTCCACATCCTCCATGCCAAAATCCCAGCACCACACGGAGGACACCAAACTCGCTGCCATCGGTGGAGTAGCAGCCCGGGCTCCTTCTCCCATGGCTGCAGTGTCCTCTGACTGCCGGTGTGAGTGGGTCGCAGGACACACTTTCCTGTGCGACCCTTAATGAACAGGACACACTGGAGTCTCTCTAGTGAGAACAAAGGCTTTGCAACTTATTTACCCTGAAACACTGGAGCCCAGGAAGGGTGGAGCCCGGCCACTCCCCGAGCTGCCTTGATGCCATCTTCCTCGTGTACCAGGTTCTTGGTTTCTTTGAAGTCCAATCTCTTTGGCAACCATGCTCTCCTGGGCCTCGACTTAGCAGGTCCTGCCTTTCTGGTGAAACAGCACACTTTTGAAATCCTTCAGTTCTTTTTCTTGGTCCTGCTTTTTACTCTAGACCTGGCCAGAATTAGCTAGCCTGAACATTGTGCTCACTTAAAGTAGTCTCCATCAGATTATTTAGGGTTCCACATTTAAATTCAACCTCATGTCATGTTTTAGGATATGAACAAAATGTAGACAACTTCCTTGGCAGAATCAAACATGTGTGGCCCTGAGTTCCCTCTCCAAGAGCTCCCCTTCCCAGGTGAAGTGCCATCAGCCTGGCCTTCTACCAGTATTTTATCCGTCTGTACGTCTATCTGTCCATCCCCAGGGAACTCACTCTGAGTCCTGGTTCTGTCTGCCTCTTTCTTTGATCTCATAGAATCTTGCAACGGGATCCCATACAGTGAGATTGGATTTTTACAGAACCAATGTGTGGTTAAAAATAAGTGTGGACAAACGTGAAGTGAAAACAGGAGAGTGGAAAGACGTATTCAGGGTCATTACGAGAGGACGAGTCAAGGTTTCCATTAAAGTAGAAAGCGCCTACAAGCTATGACTCTGTCTTCTCCGTGGAGAAGGCGGGCAGAGTGGCAAGTTTCAGATTCTGGTGCATTTCCTGCCCACCCTGTTGTGTGGGGGAGGCAGCGGAGCCCCGGGAGTCTCGGTGCTGAGAGGATGCTGTGGGTGGGCGTCCACCCTGTCTGTGTTGCAACACTGCATGTTTCCGAGGAACCAGAATGGCTGTTTCCCAAAACGCCAGCCTCTGCAGCGTTCCCAAATAAGATGCAGGATCTCTCCTTCCTCGGGAAATGATTTCTGCTGTCCCAGAGCCCAGTGGCACACAACAGATATGTTCCAAACGTGTCATGGGGTAGCTGGAGCCCGATGCTAAGGTCAGGAGCAGCCTCCTTAACCACGGGCCCCTCCTCCCAGACCTCAGGGCTGTGGTCTTCTCCATGTCTTCCCTGCCCGGGCTTCTGTGTGGCTGAGCGAGCCAGCAGCAGTGTAATGACCCTGTGATCTTCTTGTGGCCGAAGTTCACAGCCAGCGTCAGTGAGTGAGGTGACTGAGGGCTGGCGGAAGGCAGGAGATTCTGGACAGGATTGGAGCCACGGTGGCCCTGGGGTCCCTGGAGATGGCGCTGCAGGGTACCGAGTGATGTAGGAGGCCGGGAGAGGATTCCACTGACAGAGGCAGCCAGCACCTCGGGATGAGATTCTGGGCTTGCAGTCTAGACGTGAACCCCTCTCCAGGGGTACTGTCCTCCTCGCCTCCTTATTCTGGATTGGTTGTTTTGGGAGTTCGGGTAACTTAGTGTCCACCAGGTTTCTCCCCAGTAAATTTTCATTTGCACTTCCTAATTAAGAATTGATTTACAGCGGGATTCCTTGACTCAGTGCAGATATCACATTCCTCATTTAATGTTCACTCAGTAAAGTTAAGAGCCCCTGACACATTGTAGGAAAAGTTTTCCCTGCTCCCAGGTGTGTTCATTTGCAAATAAATAACATTGTTCATGGAACCCCTTGGCCTCTGAATCCCTAGGAAAGTGGTTGGTCCTTGGCAGGATTCCTTCTGCAACCGCACAGATGCATAAGGGTGTCTTTCTTGTATCCATATCCAGTGTTCTCCAGCACCGTTTCTCTGGCTTTAGTAGTTTATTCCTTTCCCTTCACAGCACCTCTCAGGAATCACACTAGACCAAGGCAACGTTCTGCTCTCTTAGAGGCAAATTACTCTGCAGAGCAAGAGTTCAGTTCATTCCAGCGACTTTTGGTGGCATTTCAAGCTTCTCTCCAAATGGTTCACGACCACAAACAATGTTTCTCTGAGTAAACTTTGGCCATGGATTTTTATATTGTTGAAGATTCCTTTTCAGTTCCTTGAAGGTATATTTTGGGACAAGAGTATACATTTACATGTTATTTTGGTGGCTATTGATTTTCCCTTACTGTGGATTGTCCACTGCTGCATTTCAAGGATACAAGGATGTATCCGGGAAAGGCAGCACTGAAAAAATGCTGTGATTTTATCCAAATGGTAAGATTGCATTTTGTTGATGTTTAATTTTCTGTTTCTCTTTGACATAGGCAAATACGAACACTTTTTGATACAGAAAAGTGTCCTCTTAAACCATTTTCTTTTTTCTTTTTTTTTTTGGTACCGGGGATTGAACTCGGGTCCTTGAGCTTACAAGGCGGGCCACCGAACCGCTGAGCTAAATCTCTGGTCCCACCATTTTCTTAATTATAGTTCATATCCTTTGCCATTTTTGTATGTGTGTTTGTGGATGGATGTGAATTTTATATGTGCTATATAATTATGAAATGACATATTCTAATTTTGTTCTAATTACTAATACGTGATAATTGCGTGTAATAGTATAAACCATATGTATGACTTCCAGTTGTGACTCCATCTTCCTTGTGTATGTGCACAGTGTGGGTATGTATTTATCTTATGTTGTCCACTTTGCAATATTTTCTTGCTACTGCATCTGCACCTGTAGTTACAGTTTAAGCTCACTCCTTACACCGGGGCCTCACAGTAACGCCGTGGTATTCAAACGATTTGGACTTGCACACTTGACTCATTTAGAGTTTCCTCTCATGGACCAAGACAGGCATTTGTACATTTAAACGTGAGTTGTCTGATGTGAGCTTTTAATTTATTTTTAATTTCATTGTAATAGAGAACAGTGATACGTGACCATGGGCAGCCATTCCATGCGTTTTGGCAGACGTTTACCTGGGGGAATGGTGAAGTCCGTGTAATTAGTGGTGGAATCCTGAAACTTCTAGGTGGACTCTTCCGGAGCCGGCCAGCTAGGTCAGGAAGCATTTTGGCCTCGGCCTTCTATTCTCTGGGTCCCTCAGAAATCCCTTCCCGTTCTTCCTGCAGTGCGCCCCGCAGTGTCCCCTCCTGGCCGTCTCATCTGCCCTCTGTGCTGTCCCTGCCTCACACAGGAAGGTCCAGGCCGGTCCCCAACACCGGTCTCCTTCCCAGCCCTCCCTGAGCTGTGTCTGGAAGCCCAGTGAGCCAGCCACAGAGACAGAGGCCCGTGGTCTCCCCCGGGCGGGCGTGGACGCTGAAGACGAGCTCCTCAGCAGAGAGCGGGGAGGTGCTGACCAGGGCCACAGGGATGGGCTTGGCTGGGGGAGCAGGAGACGCTGGCCAAGAATGCAGCGCTTCCCCTGCGCGAGAAGACTGAAGGTTTGAAATCTGTTGCTCAGAGTGGTGCTGACAGTGACTAATAATGCACCGCATATTTCAAAATTGCTACAAGAGGAGCTTCAGAATGTTCCTACGTGAAGAAGTCGTGAATCTGTAAGGTGATAGATGCGGTGACTGCCCAGGTTCAACGTCCCACAGTGTATGCCCGTATCCCGGTATCACATTGCACCCCAGAAGTATGTAAATTACCGTCAACTGAAAATAAATAAAACAAAATAAACAAAGTAAAACATTTCAAAAAACTAAAATGGGATAAAGAGCAGAAGCACACAGAAGGCCAGGAGTCCCCATCCCCGCAGCGCCGCTGTGGGGTCCTGACCGCCCACCCGTTGCTTGTCAGCTCAGGCGGGGTCGGGAGCTGGGCTTGTGGTCAGCTGGAGGCGGTGACCACTCACTGTCCTCTCGCTTCTCCTGCAAAGGATGAAAATAGCTTCTAATCCCCAAACTGAAAGCGGCTGCCATGGGGAAGCAGCAGCAGAGGGAAGTGTGAGACACACAGCTCCGCCTGGTCCAGAAGAAACAGGAGGAGAGCGCCGCAGAGGAGCTGGGAGCCACCCTGCCGCAGCTGCTCGGTCCCCTGAGCTCGGGGTGGCTTTGTCTGTCTCTTTGCAGTGATGGGGCGAGAATCCCAGGCGCTGCGGTGTTAGGCCGGCGGTCTCCACGTTTCCAGCGCTTGAGTGCTGGTCCCTTTGGGTCACTGCTGGCTGCACTGTGGGTGCAGCTGGTGGTTCTGGTCTCAGAATCGTGTGGACAGGACCCCGCAGGGATGCTCACGTGTCTCTACACCACTGTGTGCAAGGACCTCAGCCCCAAAGTTCCAAGCATCTTGGACTTCTGCTTGCTAATTGATTGACTTACCATTCAGTAAATCTTATTCCTCCTTGTTAAAGAAATCGGTACCTGTGGCTACACCAAAACACAAGCATACAAAGTTGAGAAAGTCAGACGCTCCTGTATTCCCTGCTGTCACTGAACGTCTGGTGTCATAGGAAAAACTAAATTAGTAACATGATAACACCGATGAGTGAATGTTAGAAATCGGATCGGTCTCATGGAGAGAATATTGAAAGCAGCAGGGCAGGATAAGATAAGTAAATGGGGTGCGGATTTGGAATTGAGGTCACGGAAAGTGAGGTGAGGAGGGAGGGACAATGCCAGGATTCATCTGGATGGAGTGATGTCAGGAGGAGCTGGGAGGCCTCACGGACCTTCCTCAGGTCTTCACATGCGTGGACCTCAGCACCCCAGAAGAGATCAAAGCAACGGCGCAGCACTTGGCCGTGACTCCTGAGGGTTTCTGTGCACTTCCGGAGGGAGTCAGGGACCAATTCCCACCCTCACCTGGGGACGAGTATCCTGGCATCCCCGTGGCCCGCTCCTGATCCCCGTTCCCTGTCACGTTGGGATGGAGCCTTCAGCTCTGCCTCCAGTTCCGGCTCTGGGTGAGGCCTTGTCTTGTGACTGGGTTTAGGGAAGGTAGTTACTGGGCTCACCGCCCCACAGCGTGGCCCCGAAAGTGTGGAGGGTGCAGCACCCTCCCTGGTGGGCTGAGTCTCCCGTGGGTGTGCGGGGCTGCTGGCGGCCCGCTTTTCTCTGTTCTGTGCACAACACCCTCACTTCCGCTGTCTGCGCTAGCAGCTAAGTGGAGCTGAGAGGACGGTTATCGCGGAACAGAGAAGGTCCTGTCTCTGACCTGAGCCATGGCTTAACAGCACTGTGCCCCGAGGTCCACGGACTCAGGCCCAGAGCCCAGGCTCATTTTTCTATGTTAATTTAAGGCTTGAGAATGAGGCTTAGTCTTAGATTCACTACAACCCACATTGCATTTTAAGCGTTTGCAAACTACATGCACCATGAGCATGTACTAATACAAATTAACACTAACAAAAAAATTAATGAAACGGTTTCTGAGCAAAGAGAACTGTTGGGTTTTAATTATCTAAGACAATAACTTTAACAGGCCCCCAAATAACTTAAAAAGATTCCAAAGACACTGAGAGAAAATGGCCAATCCGACCTAGACAAGGTGATGCGGAAGGGACACAGCGGGACCTGTGTGCACAGAACCCGCCCCAGACACAGCCCCAGGGAGACCTCAGCCTCCCCGCGCTTCCCAGGGTAACTCTCACCCTGGCGGAGCCTGCCTGGCCCCTCCTGGCCCTTTAAGGGGTTATGGCAGGGATCACGGCCTCTGGACACTCAGGCCCGGAGTTTACTACCTCATGACAGGTGCTTTCTGGCGGAGGAATTCCCTCTCAGACCCTCTGTGCACGATCTCACCAGAGGCTGCGGCCGAAGCCACGATGATCTTCTTCCTCTACGCAGCCCGACCCCCCTCTGCCCATCACACTGTCCCTCTTTCCCAGACCCACATACAAAACAAAAACAGGCGGACGTGGCGGGGACGGGCCTGGGGTGTGTATGAGGTGGACAGGCAGGGGAAAGGGGCTTGGGGGCCACGAGCACAGAACCTCCTGGAACGCATGGTCGAAGACCAAAAGACACCCGGAGGGCCACAGTCCGGTGGGATCAGAGCCTCAGGAATGCGTGCTGGGCCCGTGCTCCCCTTATCTAACTGATCACGCACAGGGCCCCGAGGTCAGTCGTGCACGGAGGCCCCGTCCTTCCCGTCCTATGTGGACTCCTGCACAGATGCCCACCTTTTGTCCTTCTCACTTCCGTCTCGGTCATCGGTGGAAAGTCACAGAAGCTGCAGTTTGGGGCTGTCCTCGAGACTCCCACTCGGGATCCTGGTTGCACTGGACGTGGAGTCCGAGTAATCTTTCATCCTTTGTGCCGCAGCCCAGTCCTGGACTGTGACCACGGAGCACGCAGCAGAACTCACCATGAATTCCGCTATAGGTACAGCGTAGGATGGCATGGGGAGAAGAGAGACGCGTCTCAGGGCCAGGCGCGAAGGAGAGAGCGTCGTCAGGGATGTTAGAGTTTGGGAAGATGTTTTAGGCATCTCTTCACTAATACATATCCTCATACGCTGAACATCATGCAACACAGTAACGCTTTCTTTCCTAACCTTTCATTTGTTACCTCTGTGTTGGAAATCACATTTTTGCTCATCATTTTCACCGTCTCCCAGTGCCCTGCTTTCCTCTCCTCCGCGTGGTGTACGGATCTCGTGCGTCATCCCTGCTCCCTGACAGGCTCCGTCCTCCTGTCAAGTGTCTTGGGATGCCATGCACACACACACCTCCCGTGTGTAACCCAAGGTCGTCACTGCGAGACAGGGTCACAGTAAGTTGCTAAATTGTCCAGGTTGGGCTTGAACTTGCGATCCACCAGCCTCCACCTCCCAGAGTGCTGAGATTTCAGGACTGGGACCCACACTGGGCTGAAAACTTGTTTTCAGAGAGCTGGTTCCCAGCCCAACATGAAGCTGACACTCAGAGCGGTGTGTTGCTTCCAAAAGATGCTGTTTCTCAGGAAAACACAAGGTAGCCCTGAGGGTAGAGTGGAGTCTCTCGGGGTCCCTGGTGGGTGCAACAGCACCAGACTGGACTTATGCTTTGAGGTTTGAAATCTACGTTTACCATTCATTCACTTACCCCAGATTCATTTTCAGAGCTATGGAGACAGACTTACTGGTGCAGGTCAAGGAATACGGGGATGAAAAGGAAACGCAGCCCACAGAAGGGGCCCAGAACATGAGGGCCAAAGATGCAGTCACACACGGGCCGGGGATGGGCCCTCAGGTGCTGGGGTGAGAAAAGCAGGGAGCGACTGGATCCGAACTCCAGCAGGGAGGGAAAGAGCCACAGTCTCTTTCACAGCCGCCCAGCCGGGCCCGAACCTGCCAGGCATTTATCTTCACAGCGCTCTCAGCTGACAGCGTCCACCTGACAGCCCCAGGTCGTCTTCCCTGATCTGCTGGGAACTTCAGATGAGGGTCCAGGCCTCTGCTCCTCAGGAGATGCACCGTCCTCTCTCGTGGTCAGTCCGGCTGCGTCTTGGTTCCTTCTCTGGCTGTGCCAAGCCTCAAAGAGCAGGATCCCGAGGGCCAGCAGGACCAGGCCGGCCAGGACCATCCGCACCAGATTCTCCACTGTGTGACGCTGGGGCCGGGAGGCTGGGAACAGGGGACGAAGAGGTCACAGAGTCAGGGGAGACCCGGGTCCCTGCATCCCTGGACACCCAGGCGGGGCAGCGCTGACTCTGGAGGGCACTTACTCCTCTGAGCCCAGCCCCACCCCTGAGAATTTCTTTACCATCAGCCTCGGGTCTGACTCCTTCCTTGCTGGCCCAAGGGTCTCAGGGCCTCCTAGGAATGAAGGTGAAGCAGAGGGACAGACGAGGGGTTCAAGACTCTGAGCCAGTATTTCCCTGCATTCTGTATTCACACCCCAGTGTGACGTGGTTCCTATCCAAGCCCTCCTGTGCTGTAGCAAATACACACCGAGGCATTTAGAGTTTATGACCTCATGGACGGTGTGTGTGTCTGTATATGCGGCTGTGAATATCTGCGTAATGGTGTGTAAGTAAATAAATGTGCATCTACATGAGGTGGGAAACAGTGTACGATCTGGAAACAGATGGAGTTTCCATCTTCCTGATGTCCATACAATTCTCTCAGTGCATAATGAGACAAGCTGAAAAACAGTTGAAAAGGACAGTGTGTGTACTAAGTTAAGAAAAATTAATATTGATTTGTCCAAACCAAAAGTATTTTTATATATACTTAACTACTTTTCAATTGTAATAAAGAATCAAGACCTCCCTAGAAATTATTAAATTTGAAGAATTTTCAAAAGTAGCTATAATTTGTATATGTTATTTGCACAGAAGTTGATATGTCTTCTCAAGTGAGAGATCCTAATTTTAGATGTGCTATTAGTAGGAGCACATTAACCACAATGTGTTTAGTCAAACCCCAGGTAAGTAGAATGAAATCTTGGCACCAGAGAAATGAAGCAAATGACACAGGCAAAAAATAAGACAGGAAGAAACTTAGAAAAGATTCCAAGGCAACTGTAAATCAGTTCACTATATGGAAGTGTACTATTAACCTGTTAGTAATCTTGAATATAAGGTGATTACATTATTTAATTAGAAGTCCTGGGGTAGAAAAATGGAATTCAGAAGAAAACAAAGAAATCATTAACAAGACCCAACGATGCACTGCCTACAAGACATCCCATCCCCTTGGCAACACAGACTGGAATCCAGGGAGCATTAAGACATCTCCTAAAACCAAGACCTGGCATGTAAAGGTACAAGATCCCAGTAATGAATGTAACTGTACTGTCTACCTAGAATGTACCAATAAATTCAATTAAAAAAAAAAAGACATCTCCTAAAGACAGGAGCCATAAGCCCTTAGGAACAGATGAAATAGTAAATGGACAAGAGGAAAGTGAGATGAAGAAAGTTATTATATAATGACAAAGGAACCAATCCAACACTGGTGTATGACACTTGTAAATAGACACAGGCCCAAAGTATAGCCCTATATGTGTATATGTACGTAAACGGGAGGATAGGCTGTAACAGAGTAACAGTAGTAGCTTTAAGCATGATCCTTTTAAGAATTATGTATATCTTTGTTTCCATAAATATTCAAAGTTTTCTTTCAGTTTCTTCATTGACCCATTGAATATTTAGGAACACGTGGGTCAGGTTCCATGTCCAGTTTCTGAAAAATAGCAGCAGTCTCTCTGGTTTCTGTTCCTGGCCTTATACCGGTTTGGGTGAGGATCTCTTTCAAACTTCTCAGAAGCAGAGAGCAGAGTGGACGCTGGGCACAGAAAGTGCACATGCACGTGACCTGCTGGGCCGGGAGCCCTGAGTGACCAGGAGAGCAGGGCAGGGCCCTCCCGAGTCTCAGGGCTTCACCCATACAGAACCCAGCTGGTGACTCAGGAGGGCTCGGGTGACAGTGGCCACAGGAGGGTGGCTGCTGGGAGAGACACAGCCTGGTCCTGATGCTGAGCTGGGGACAGCAGGAGAGAGGGGCGGGGCCTCGGCAACCTGTCCTCAGTGTGAACTCACTGCCCTGAGGCCCCGCACAGCCCACTGCAGCCTCCCTCTCTTAGTTCTGTGTGTACCGTCAGGGATGGGGTCCCAGCAGGGAGAATTCCCACCCCTTTCACCCCGGTAAGGGAAGGCCTCCCTTGGAGCCTCCCTTCCTGTTCCCTTAATACTGGGTGTCCTGATCTGTACTAGGGAGCGGGGCCCTGAGTGTCCCTTTCAGTTTAGGAGAAGTGGGCTCAGTTCCTCACTTGACATGGAGAGCTGCAGGGGGTCGCTGGGCCACACAGCAGGTGGGGGGCGGAGCTGCGAGAGCCACAGCACCTGTAGGTCCCCCCGAGGGCTGAGCTCACAGCGCCCATGGAGAATTCTGCCTGGTACTGCTGAGCTCGGGACTCTGATCGCAGACGCAGCGGGGCATCGGTGCCCCCTCCTTGGACAGGAGCAAAGTGTCCACCGGGTCGGGGGACTGACACAGCAGGGTCACATCCTCTCCTGGGGACACCGTGGGTCCCGGCTGCGCCGAGAGGGAGGGTGTGACAGGGAGCTGTCCTGGAGAGAAGCAGCGTGGTGAGGGGCTGCCCACCTCGCTCTGAGCTGAGGCCTCCCCGGGGCTGTGTCGGAGGCCCCTCGGTGTCCTTCTGTCTCTGTTTCCTCTGACTCTGCCCCTCCCGCCCTCCCCCGGCTCTGTCTCTGTCTCTCTCCCTCCCT